GGCTGCAAATCTTGCACTCCATGTCGTATTCGGCTCTTGTCATCCGGATGTAGGGGTTGTCGCCGAGGCATGATTCGCAGATGATGGGAAAGTCCGATCGTTCCCAACCGTCCGCCTCCGGATTTCTCAGCAGCCTGTGCGCCATATGACCCAGCGGCAGTTGCACTCGAACAGAAATAAATTGGGATTTTCCCACAATCCTTTTCAAATTCTTGGTTTTATATCATTCATTGGATTGGGCCTCCTAGAATTTGGTCGGCCCACCCGAAAACGAGTTACGTGTTGGACCAGACCTTCCAAATTCTTCCAGAATCCGCCAGAAGCGAGAAGTCTTCGATTTTATATCGTTCTTATTTCACCTCTCTGAGAATTTCCTCCCTTTTGGTGGATTTGATGGATTTGAGTCCAGGAGTTGGACTTGTATCAGTACCTGTGCAGGCCTTGTTCTATTCGGACAAAAGAAGACTTAACATTGGGCCTAGAATTTCGACCGAGAAAAGGCCCAGGTCCAATTCAAGAAATAGTGCAAAAATCTTACAGCTCTAGCAGAACGATAAAAAAAAAAAATAGAAAAAAGAAAAACGCTCATCAAAAGTCTGAACCCTAAAGCCTAAAATTACTCTGATATCAATCTACTTTTTATCTTTTTCAATCTTATATTATTTGCAAGGGAAACCAAACCCAACCATCATGGCTGGTGAGAAACATTGTCTATAGCGGCAAAAAACACAAACGATATCAGCTGCAGGAGTGTACAGAATTCCCACCGCGGTCTTAGCAAGAGGAACATCAGACTAGTATATAGTAACATTCATCGATAACAATTAGTACGATAGCAGATCTGTCATGGCTGTCCAAAGATGCAAGTACATGGATTCCTTACTTGGTACAAGTCACATATCCGCCACAGACCAAAGATAAGCTTCTGCCTCCGTGGCTTGTTTCTCGTTCTTCCTTTTGAACATTCCCTTCTCAAATCCTGCACGACACAGAAGGTACTGATTAGTAAATCCTGAAATAATCATCCACATGTTTTGCCCTCGGTGTATCATGCAATAGACTAAAAGAAAGAACACAAATGCAGAATGAGAAAAGAGAACCCACCGTTACTGCGATCAACTCCATCCCAATGTCTTCCTGGTCTTATACCGTATCGATTTGGTGCAGCATCCAATCCTCTTTTTAACCAGCTGTGAACAGGAATATCCTGGGGAATAATGAATCCAGATTCCTTCATTTTCTCATCATCCCCCAAGTTAGAGAGAACTGGCTCGGAATGCTTTTTCTACAGCATGACAGTAAAGCAAATGTCAAACTCAAAACCAGTACTAATTTCCATAATTCTATACCCTACTACATAGCGAACCTAACTTATTACCTTTACCAAATGTGCCATGGGATCGCCCCACCTTGTTCTCTCCTTCAATATTTTGTCGAGTTCAGGATCATCTCTGCAAACAGAAGATAAAATGTGAAAACACAATAAGCATAAGGGATAGTCTTTATTAAAGAGAAAGATAACTTGGACTTCTCTAACATTTACCTAGTCCGTGCAAAAGGCTTATCCTTCTCAAGTTCTAATTCCTCCAGCTTACTTTCAGCTTCTCGCTTTTGGGCCAAGCCTTTGCCCCATTCCAACTTTATCTCCTGATACAAATACAGGCAAAATGACCATAAGTACTCTATTCAAAAAGCACAATAAATAATAAAATACAAACTTCATGTTTCCATGGTGACTAAACTTAGAATAGAACCATAAGACAATTCAAAACATCCCGCAGAGTATGAAGCTAATAAATGTTTAGTTCTATACTGCGGTTATCATCACAGCATATAATTGATTATAAATATGACCCATTTGCTATGTTCCAGCATACCTTTGGTTTTTCATCTATTTTCCTTTGCGATTTCAAAAGCTCCTCCTTCGAAATGCGTTCCCCTGCACGTTGGTGTGTGAGACCCGGATAAAACACACAAAAGTCATATATATAACTATAAGAGGAAAAAATACAACTTCAGCTCACCTGTTTTCTTGTCACGATATATAGGTACTGCCTCTCTCCCACTTACAGAAGGATCCATCCGTTGAAATCTACAGAAAACGGTATTTTGTAAGTCAGACATTATTTATCAGTCAAATTACTATTCTGAAGTACATAAACAAATCATTGGTGACCAAAATTTATGAAAATCCATATAGCCACCGTACAACAGCACGCACATAAAAGACACCATCAGACCACAAGGGGAAAAACCGACAGTTAAGTTTCATTGAAAGCACAAAACAACCTCTAGCAAAAAGTAAAAATAGAATGAAATCCCTCTACTTGATTTTGAAACCAAGTTAGCTGAATGAAAGATATGCACATTACTTATTCATCGTGATGCATTGGCATATATATATTGGTTAAAACAGGCACACACCTTAACCACTCATCCTTCTTCGTTTTATTGATCTCGTCACTAATCTCTCGGCCAGAGATCAGACCAACTTTTGCTTGCTCTTTCCGAGGGTGCGGAGTAACTTGCTTTTTATTCCTTGGTGGGGAAAGATCACCATCAACATCCTTCCTGCTTTTCCTTGGTGGGGAAAGATCAGTATCAACATCCCTCCTGCTATTCCTTGGTGGAGAAAGATCAGCATCAACATTGTTCCTACTTTTCCTCGGTGGAGAAAGATCAGCATCAACATTGTTCCTACTTTTCCTCGGTGGAGAAAGATCTGCATCAGCGTACTTCCTGCCCTTCCTTGGTGGAGACAGATCTTCATTACTATCCTTCTTGCTCTTCCTTGGTGGAGATAGATCTGCATCAACATCCTGCCTCCTTTTCCTTGGGGGTGAAAGGTCTGATCCAGGACGAGGAGGCAAGTACTCGTGGTTCGTTTCAGGCTCGGGTGACGGGGTGTGGTGGCGCTTCCGTCTCTGCCGTGGAGATGACAAGTCAGCATCTTCCCTCCTATTTTCCGGAAACATTGGTTCACTCGGAACCAAACTCCTCTCCCTACGAGGTGGAGATAAATCAGAGTTTGACTGCTTAGGAGGAGAGTCTCCAACTGTAACCCAACCGCTTCCATCTTCGGATATGGAATTAAAGGGACGTCTGGCCCTCAATTGTTGAAGTCGCTTCATCCTCTTAATCTCAATGTCCTCATCAACTACGGGTTTGTCTTCATCCGATGAATTGTCACCATTATCTTCCTCAACATTCACCGGCTTCTGCCAAACAGGATCTTCATCAACCACTAAAACGCCCATTGGCTCCGCCTTGGTTTTCTGCTTCTTGTTCTTCTTCTTTTTCTTCTTATCCTCTTCATTATTCACTTCATACCGTTTCAAATACTCTTTCAAAGATTTACTCGAAGACGCCATAGCTCATTCAACAGTCTTCACCTTCCTAAACCCTAACAACTGTAAATTTGATTAATACAAAATTCTTGAGGCGATTAATTTTGATTGTAAATTTGGTTAATATACCTAGCTCTAAGCGTCTTGCATAAATAAAAACCCTAACTATGTAATAGTAACAATGATAAACAAATTTTGCATACTTCGATTCCTGTTTGGTTGCCGAGAAAACAGTAAGAAAAGGAGAATTGAAAGAAGAAAATTGAAAAGGAACGTACCGCTAACAGGTCGACGAAGACGGCGAGAAGAGAGAAATCGAGACGGGTGGGGGTTGGCGGTTCGACGTTGGGGTCGTGTGCGACTGCGAGTAGCCGTCGAGTCCGGGAAGTGCGAACCTCCGAATCGAGGAGGAATTTGATTAGCATTATAGCCAGTGATTAATTGTGGGCCGGATATTTAAAATTGGGCTCAGATTTAAGGGGTTGGGCTCAACTGGACTCAGACTATGTTCGAGGCCCAAAAGAAAGACTGTAATATCAGGCTTGGAAATTTGGACTGGACTTATCTTAATGCCGATCCCGGGTCGATCCAAAAGAAGTTCTATTAAAAATGTCTTTTTTCTTCTTTTATATATATATATTTTTTTTTTTGGGTGGGTTGAAGGTGAAACAATAGTAGCTTATTAAAGAATAAAGAGAACAATTATTTGATTTATTCTTTAAGATTTTGTTTTTAATTTATGCCAGTTAACTTTTGATCCAACTAACCAACTTTTTTATTTTAAAATAATTTTGTGAACAAACGATAATGTAACCACGAGATAGGCAGTCCAGTGGTAAAGGGCGGATTGTGAGGCTTCGTTCCAACTAAAAATTGGACTGGCTCCCGGAGCAGATTCACACCAAACTTGTGGTCAGGGGAGGCTAAATGCCTATGTGAATATTCCCGGCCCCTAGAAGGATGGATTCACACCAGATTTGTGGCCAGGGGACACCAGACTTGTGGTCATGGGAAGCTAAAATGCCTCTGTAAGTGTAAATCTTTCAGGCCCCCCCGGTCCCATAAGTAATTGATAACCGTGACTTGCCACCAGTTATCCCTCTTTAAAAAAAAAACGATACTATTAAATAATTAAATTGTTAATTTAAAAAAAAATTATGAAATCATACCAAACGTAATTGATTTACGTCACGGTAAATTAATATGTGAAACTCATATCTCACTAAATAATTATATTCTTTATAGCAAATTGTCACATCTCCAAAAGATTAAGAGCATGGTTTTTTATCGCATCCGCGGAACCTATAATATTTAGCCTCGCAATCGTATTGCAAATCAAGAGAGAATTCAGAACAGTGGATTAAGGGGAAGCATCTAGAGAATTCTGGAAAAAAATAAAGAATCTGTCGATGCAAATGAATACAGGACACTCATTTCCAATAATATTACAGACCTTAAAAAACAAAAATAATTTCCAGCTAAAAAAGGAGGACCATGATTAAATCAGCCACACGACAATTATTATTATATAAAAGAAAAAAGAAAAAAGAGAGTTTAATTTGGGTTAAGATCAGCCGTCCATTAGTCATCCACCTGAAGCGTCACCGACTACTGTTCCTGCATCCTATAAAAGCAATCAAAACCCTGCAATCATTTTTTTGTGAGAATTTGGAAATATTCTCTCCCTGATTTCCTTCTTTCTTCTGAGTTTTTGTGCGTTCTTCTAATCTTACCATGCTCATTTGCTCAAGCTACCACCGCCGGAGACTACTCATACTAGACTAGTAGAAATGAGCATGGCTGTTATAGGAACAGCTACGGCCTCGTCGTGTTGCCTGACCAAGATGATCGGATTCGCTCCTCTGTCAGCTCCGCCGCGCAGTTGTTGTAAGGTTTTGGCTGTCAAGGAAGGCCCAGAAAGACGGGGAGGTAGTCGCGTGGCTGTGACGGCCAGGTTTGGGTCTTCCAAGAGCGGTGGCGCCGGAGTTTTGGAGCGCCCCAAGTTTGACCAATCCGGATTTGATCCTGCCACCCAACTTCAACAAGGTACGGTGCCTTCTTTTACCATGTATCCCTCCTTTTTCGCATCTGGGATTTTAGTTTCGCGAATTTGGCTATTTGATATGAAAATTGGAAGAAAAAAAATTGATGTTGAATTCCCATTTGTGTAATGTTGGAATTTCAGGAGGAGATATTGGACGATCAAAGGACAAGAGAGGTGTTGGTAGCGGAGATAGTTACAGAGTTTTGCTGATTGATGATGTTCGCCACACCGAAAAATTAGGTAAATTGTTCATACACCTCTATCTGACGGAAGACTTGATCCAAAAAACCTGGCTCAGTAACGTTCTAGGATTCATACAGCCAACCCTACCTTGTGGAAAGCCAGCAGTCGATTCGTTGTTAGAAATGAAATGACCATCAACCTATGCCTATGCCTATGCTATGCCGAAATATGAAATTGTTAGTTCAACTAAACCAAATTTCCTGTTTTATCTTTTGTAGTTGCAAAGGTGTTGCTCCAAGTTGTTCCATCTGTTACACCTGACGTTGCAAGAGGATTATTTCACAAATCGAGGGAAGATGGTGTCGCGGTTGTTATCGTTACAGTGAAGGTAAATTCTCTATGGTTAGCATACAGCTTTGCACATGTAGAAATCTTCGGTCAAATTTGTTTTAATCTTGATGTCCACTGTTAGTTTCTTTTGGGTTCTTAGAGCTTCTCTTGTGCAATGTATTTTGTCCGGAAGAAAAAAATCGCTGAGTGTAGCCAAGAGATGCTCTTAAACCCCATATAAATGTTAAAGTCTTGTGATTAGAAATGGTGTGTGCATCGGATTTAAAATAGATAGGTTGTCGTTGGTTGTTTTTCAAGCGAGTCCTTCAATGTAAATCTTTAAGGAGATTATCACTGGTTTAATGTACTCTGCCTGCCCGGCATACTTCGCCACTTATTACCTTATAGAAGCATGCTATCTAGTTGGCTGCAATGAGTATATACTATAAGATTAAAAACTAGGTTCTACTTGTTCGCTCACCGCAGTGCGACCACCTTGTTTTTCTATGCTTCGTGTTCGGAAGATAACTTGTTAAATTGTTGGAATTACTTGATTATTGTGTTTACGGCAGTACTCTATTTGGGTTGTCAGGAACATGCAGAATTTTACTCCCAGATGATGATTCGTGGCGGGTTACGATCAACAATAGAACCGGATTCAAGTAATCTGTGAAGCCGTCAACAAAAGATCCGGCATTTGCAATGGTTTACAGTTGCATTTGTAAAAGTGATCTTCTAATTTTGGATTTACACTACGCGTGCGGAGATAATTTTGTAAGGGGACGAGAGAGATGTCAAGTAGTTGAATATGTAGAATTGTATTTTTGAAACTTATTTTGTAGCGGGAGCCTTCTTTTCATATCAATTCGTTAAATTTGGCTAGGATAATGAAAACATATCAACTTATTCATATGTTTCTCGCATCCACGGGATTTAGTAGCAGCACAAATATTTTGAAAACGGTGGTGCGATAATTAACGACTTTTAATTTGGGATTTCCATTTCCCATTTTCATAAATGCCTCGCTTCTTGTACATCGTGCAGCTCCAAATATAAATGAATCAATGAAAAGTAAATGAAGATGTGTGGTTTATTTAATGTAAATATTAAATGGATCTCAATAAAATTCATAACTAAAAGATGCATAAATAAACCAATCTGACCAAGAGGTAAGAACATTTTAATTTAAAGACAAATTACATTACATTATGAAAAGAACTGTGATGAAGAAAATACTTGTGACACCTACAGAGATTAACAGACAAAAACTCGACGGAACTCCTTCTGACATAGGAATTTGGCTCTTGTTCATGATAAAAGTCAGTGAAGTCAAAACAGGTTTCCGGCGTTGGCAGAAGTGAGAAGGAAACCCGCATAACGGACGAATTTTCCATTTCACTCGTGTTCAGAAAGTAGTATGAACAACTCCTCGTCCGTAATTGCTCCCATCTCCATCGCTCTTTCTAATGCACTTTGCCCTCCCCCATCTTGAATTGACTGGCGTGCACCCCTGCATCACAAGTTTTTGTTTAAACACGAGAAAAAGGATGAATTTGTTTCTGTCAAGCACAGTTTTCAACCCAAATAGATACATTACCTCCTAAGTAGCCACTTTGCCAATGAGTTGTTCCCGCTGGTGATGCAGTGGTGCAAAGGAGTCCTTCCATGGAAATCACGCAAATTCATGTTGGCACCAAACTGCAGCAGCAATTCAACCATCATCGGATTGCCAGAGTGACAAGCCAGATGCAATAATGAACAGCCTTGAAGACAGTTCCCAGGCTCATTGGACTCCTTGATTCTATCACACGCTGCTGGATCATACAGTTTCATCTCCATTGTGTTAAAATCTGACTCCGACTGTATTGCTTCAGCATGGTGATATAAATCATGAGTAACCACATTCTCAAAGGCAGGTGTCGACAATATTCACATCTGACATCACAATAATGCGGTAGACTTCTTGTAAATTACCAGCCTTGACTGCTTCCCATATATCTGATGCAAGAACAGGCATGCCCGATGCAGCTACATCTCTAATAACCATCACTTTCTCTACATACTGCTTGTGGGAAAACAATTATTCTTCACATTAACAATAACAGCCTTTTTCTTAGTTTTATGGAAAAATAAAAGTCAAGATAATTACAGTACGTCATAGACAGTCGACGGTAATAGCATAATAGGAGAAACATTCAGAACACAACGGAAATTGGAAGTTGATAGGAAGATGTGTTCATACGGTAAATACAATGGCAAACAAATGGCAAAGAGACTTGAAACAAGTAACTTCTATGTCAGTGTCCAATGTCTATTAAGCTGACATACAGATACAGTTATCCCTGTTTTCTATCAAATTTAACTTCTGCATAAAGTTGGATCTTTAAGATTCACCATTCTTTTTTTTTGGTTGTTTTAAGTGCACTAATTTCATGAAAACTTAATGCAACTTTCAAACTATACGCATTTTCTTATATTAGAATTGAGCAATGGAAGTTAATGGATTACCTTTGCTTGAATGTATATTTCCTTATGCTGAGCTGCATCCTTGGGGCCTGGTTTTAAAACTGGAGCCCTCACGTCCTTCGAACCATCCAGTCTGCAAAAGAGTTTCAAATCAAACTAGAATCACAGCAGTACACACAACTTTAAATACCCCAAAGCACATTACTTAGATGATTACATGGTAAATAAAATTGAGTTCTTACTTTTCATTCTCAAGTAGAAGCGTTCCCTCCCATACAGAATTACAATATGCATTACCCAAGTTGCGAAATAAGTCCACAAGTATAGGTTCCCAAACCTTGACATCTAATGTTAGAGATCTCACCTGCAGTTATTAGTACAAAGTACTCTTTCATTGTCAACCGAGAAGTCATGATAATCATATCTCATTCCTAAGCCACTTTCTTTTCTACAGTGTTTTAATGCATAATACTTGCTAAAGATAATTTCAAAATAACAGGATTTGTTCAACACTTTAAATGTTTTGGCATGCAGGACTTTCCACAATAACAAAAACGGTCCACATCTTTCATCGCATAGAAGGGTAGACCAAAAGAAAGATAATACAAAATAGGGAAATTGGGCTTACTAGCCCTTGTACAAATACACCAACCAAAATAGCTCTGCTCTCAAAATGCACTATCTTTTGACATAAAATAATCCAATCTCCACTAGCTCTATTTGACGAAAATATCACAAATAATGTGTCAAAAATCTACCAATATTGTGTCGAGAATTTATTAATATTGTGCCGATAACGAGGGTATTTTCGTTAAAGAGAGCTAATAGAATTGCATTGTGAACGTAGGGCTATTTTTTATTGGTGGGTTTGTAAAAGTGCTACTAAGCCCAATTACCCTATAATATAAACTGGAAGCTAGCTAACATCCATCCCAGAGAAAAAATACAATCAGTTCTCGACTTTTCATTTCTTTGCTCACCTTTGAAATGTGTACACCAAGATTCCGGTGAACACCAGAACATTCGATGCACATCAGTACGCCAAGATTAAGAGATGCCCAGTCAGGCTCAGGAGCACCACACTCCGCACAAAGATCATTTCCAGGAATTCTCCTGAGAATACTAGAAACAGAATCTACTCTGTTGAATTTTCTGGTATTTCCTAAACTTTCAGTGCTTTTCACTCTACGAATATCATAAGTACCAAGAGAAGATTTACTACTCTCGTGATTCACAGTTCCAGGATGTGGCTGCAGAAAATATAACGAAAGTTTGTTAGTATTAGCTTTCATTCATACAAATCTTAATATTTAGTTATACAGAAAAGTCACAGGCTTTCAAGGTAGGGACCTGGTCAAGAAGCTGAAAATTCAAAAGAGATGCAATTACTCCTGCTATTTTGTTTGTCCAATCCATCCTATCAGCTTCATTTTCAGCCTGACCAAACAGAAGGTAAATAGTAGCCCATCACAATGTCGTCCCAAATACTTCAATTATATAGCTAATGATTCAGCGAAATAACATATGCACAAATGTAATTTGTACAATGGTTATCTCAAGAGTTCAGATGAGTTAAGCCATGCATGCAATTAAAGTACTACTGTACAGCAGCACAAAGCAATAACCAACAACCAATCAACTAATTACCTGCAATGTGTAAGTTTTCAATGGGGATATTATTCTAAAGCAAAGTCGAAGATCTGTATCCTCTGCGTCCATCTTTATTGTTGAGGTACGCAGATCAACAGTACGGCAGCCCAGAATGTTTTCATTAAGTGACGCGACCCTATGTCTTGAACGAAATCTGCTAAACACACCACTGTGATGTTCTGGTGAGCGCGTGAAATGATGTGACTGGGAGCCGCCCTACGATGGTAACAGATACAAGAGAAGAAAATTCATGGTCTACTGCAATAAAACTAACATCTCTGGAATATAACATGTGTGGTATGGTAAACTTATTTAAAGTAATTCAAAGATAGAGAATGCACAAGTTACAGAGAAGATTTAGCAGAGAAAATGTAACACACCATGGGTTTGGTACCCTTAATTCTGTAATAAAATAAAGCCCCATGACTGTTCAGAACGAAAAACCTCCTCTTCCAATCTCCCCTCAAACTTGAAGATCGTTTCACTAGATATCCTTGCTTGATAGTCTGGACCTAAAATATGAAACAAAAAAATAATAATTATGTGATTAACCTTCTTTGCAGTACAGTAATATTACCAATAAAGTGGCAGAGTCTTGTTAAAAGTTGAGTTCTAAGAATACAAATAATAGGAGACACTTATAAGCCAAAAATGGAAGACACATTTTAACATTTTCTACAAATAGAAAGGAAGCTCACATAATGAAAATGTGAAATTAGGCAAAAAAATAAACTTACTAGTTTAACAATGAAAAAAGGCTTCTTCAACCAATGCTATTACCTTCCCATTTGCACTGGACTGCATGATTGCTTCTATGTTTTTGTGAGAAGCTAAACCAAGGGCGCGATTTCCATCAGCCACTGCAGGAGGCTCAATATTACTGGAAGCTCGTATACTGTCCAGCTCAGCTTGTGTCCTATATTCCTGAATCCTTTTGTGAAGTTTATCTTGTTCAACAGTGGCCTGTTCTTTAGATTGTTGTGCGTATGTTAACACCTGATTTCAGGAAAACAAGTTCATTATTAATTGAAAAGATATTTCCCTGAAGCAACAAAAGTTGAATAGTCCAGAGTTAATGACACTGATAAATTAAAATACTTGTAAAAATGGTACAACCATAAAAAGGTTCTGCCCATGGCATGCATGTCAATGACACAAAATCATCAATTGAGATCAGAATAAACTTTACGAATCACCTCTCTTATTTGTAAGAACACGCATCTTTAATATATCCGTAACTATCAATAAAAAGTGAATTACATTCATACCTGGTGAATATATGGTTCCATTTGGCTGAATAACTCGTATCCCTAAATCACAAAAGGAAAATATAAAAAATGACCAAAAAAAAAAAAAAAAAATCTTCACAATTGTCAAAATGGAATACATTCAGATGTAAAGAAAACATCTAATGATTGCATAAACAGACCAGCTTAAAGTATCTCAGATGCGCATCCATGATTGCACTAATAGATTCCAAAAACTCATACTTCTTTTTTGCTTCAATATTCATTAGTGAGTTTACCTGCAGTCCTTAAGATCACAGAAAAAGGTCATTACAAGCAGAAACCTTTAAGGAAAATATATGTGACAGATGCAAAGAGATCTGCAAACAGAGAAGACATACTAGGTTGAAGCGGCTTTTCTCAAATGTTGATTTTGAATTTTGTAGATCCTGTCATGAACAAAAGATGGTGAGCTCCTCAACTTTTCAAACAAGAGGGTATCTACAGTCTAGGCAAGCTACTTTAGTTAGTAAATACTTTAATTAACAGGCACACACCTCCTCTAGTTCTGCAACAATGTCTTCCCGTGTATTCTTCTTTAAGGACACAAACTTTTCCCGTGCCTGAATTGAATAAAACAAAACTTTATGCAACTTCATTAGATGTCAACTCAAGGATACCTAAAAGCTACCAACAAGAAAACTAATCAAAAGACATTGTTATAATATATTGGCAACCAAGGAGATCTAAGATGTATAATATATTGGCTCATCCTTCATACAAAAAAACAACATATTAATAAGTTCCACCTGATTCTGAATCTATAAGACACAGCCCAATGGCAAACTAGGTAGGTCCAAGAAACTAGAAGCTTCACCTTTTGGGGACAGTAGCTACTAATGAAAAGCAAGTATAAATATATAAATTGAATTAACATTATTGCCACACAGGTACAAAATGTTCGAGTGATCAGTGATACCTGATCATAACCATGTATAGCTTTGTCGAATTGACGTCGTGACTCCTGCAAAATTAATAGAAAAGCATGTAAGGCAAAAGAAATCAAATTTTTTTTACTTCATCTCAGGAGCCCGAACTTCATCCACTGCCACAGTGCCAGCACCAATTTCCATTGGTATCGTTATAGTAGCAGTACATAGAAACAAAGAAATTACCTTTGCATCTTGCAGATCAACTGTCATAAAGTGCATCAACCGATCAACTAAAACGTGCTCTACCTGTAATCCATAATTTTACCCACTAAGAATGTAAAAAAAAGAGAGAAGAGATAAAGACGTTTACATAATGTTACTTAAATATATTTTCTCTTTTTCGATTCACCATTCGTACATAATACATAAAACCTTGACTCACTTTCACTATTTAACATATTTAGAAAGATTATTAGGGTGATTTGCTATCTAAGACTCACTTGGGAGCGAAGAAGCTCTTTATAAGTGGCAAGCTCTTGAAATGCAGTAACGAATTTGGATAGTACTGGACCTGGAAGAAAATATCACATATATAGCAAGTTACAATAACAAATCAAAACAGAACCAAAAACGAATGCTTTCCTTTCAACAGAAAAAGTAGGTTGATAAACATAACACGGTTGCACTGAATTTCTTTTTTATTTTAATTTATTACATGGGGTTTCCTTCACATTCGATGTTATACCAAAATTACCCCATAATTACAGCTTAATATACAAAATTTCACTGTTCTCTTTTACAAAATTTGTTGATAACTACCATTAGAATCATTTCCTATTAGAAAAACCCTCCAATGAAATTTTGAAAATCATTACTTATCATTTTTCAGAAGCTCCTTTATGATTTCTAGACATTTTCTAGAAAAAAACAATTATCAATCCTAACAACCTCCAATGGATACACTAATAGGATCGTCCAGTCCACCACCAAATGCTTCCAAAGATTCTGAAAAAATGGTGTCTCCATTGCATGCTTCTTCCAGAGCCCCCCTGTGAGCAAAACAAAGCCAAAAATAAAAACTTGCCTCAGCCAATGAGTTTAAGCTTTATTATAAAAGAGCGAACTTTGATTCTTCAATTCATAAGTAGAACCAATAAAACAGTTTCCTGGGAATATCGTTATACACTTACATAAACTTCTTAGACCCTTTGCATAATTTTTGGCAGCGATCTTTCAACTCATCAGTTGTTTGTTCCATAGAATATATCTGTCAAAGAATCCAAATTTCACCATTCCGATACCATTTAAGAACACGAGAGACGCCAACAACATACAACATTAGCCATAGCATCTATAAAACCTGTTAAATTTGACTATAGCTAGTCTTCGAATTAAAAAATAAATGAAAAATATAAACTACACCAAAAGATGTCTAATTTTTCTCCTGAAATTGACTTTCCTCGCCTATCTCCTTCTTTACAAGTTCCATGCAATTAATCAACATGCTGTGAATATAACTGTGCATATATATATATGTGTGTGTGTGTGTGTGTGTGTAACTAATTCAAGTACAAAATTCTTTTGCAATCCAGTAAAACTAATTGTCAGCCGAAAATATTTCTTTGAAATAGTACAATCATTACACCAAAAAGCCGAGAGAATTTTGCAATTTACAGTGAGCTAGTGCAATTTCTCGTTCCAAATTCATGAGATTTCAAAGATTGAAGCTTTTACGAGAATCCGAAATCTGAATATATACATATATACACACATATATTACCTGCTTCTGAAACATTGGGGAATCCTCGAGCTTGATGAAGGCCGCCATTTTTTTCCCTCTCAAAATTTGGAGATCCAATCGCAATCTCTGCTTGTCTCTTTCTTTCTTTATTCTGTATTTCGCTCGATTCTCCAGCTACTTCTCAGAGTTTTCCAGATCGAATTCGCGCGGAGGGGTTATTTGGTCAAATTTCCCACCACCGATTCGCGGACTCCCGAAAATTTCATATTAGAAGACTTCTTGCGCGCGTATGGATAATCTCACCTTGTTTGGGCCCTTCGATGTTGATGGACGAATACTTTTCACCGTTGGATTTCGTATAAGTCAAGTAATTTTTAGTTTTTTTTATTTTTATTTTTTAATTTCCAAGTAAACCGTGTTATACTTTAATGGAAGTTCTGACGAAAATATTCACATAACTATAAAAGTGTCACATAATTTACATTTCGTGAAAAAAACTTAATATATAAAAATTTATAAATAAAAGAATAATAAAGCAAGAATTATAATAATTGTATGGATAATGCAGAAAATAAATATTTTAAACTAAGTTTACAAACTAAAAGACATAGTTATTAAAAATTAAATTATTATTTAAATATTGATTAATGTGTTTATTTTTTATTAATGATACCTTATTTGCCCCATACCCGTGGGGTACACCCAAAGCTCATGGGGAGATCTTTGATGGTGGAGGATGATGGTGTTCGATGGATTTGATTTTGAGTATACCCTTGAGTTTATTCTACCATGCGGATTCATTGATTTGGATAAAGGAACCTAAGGGCTTGTTCACTACTAAGAGTGCGTACTTTGTTGGCTCAATCAGGTCCAGGAATGAGTGGTGATGAGCCTATGGGATCAGTGATTACTGGTGATACAAGATTCCTATGGAAAGCTTTGTGGCGAGCTAAGGTCCCGGGGAAAGTGAAAATTTGTGTGTGGCGTGGGTATATGAATGTTTTGCCTTCCAAAGTTAATCTGAAGAGCAGATGAGCAATTATGAATGATACTTGTGGTTTTTGTGATAAAGAGGCAGATACTGTTGAACATGCTCTTCTAACGTGTCCTAGAGCGGCAGCGGTGTGGTTTGGAAGTCCATTAGGCATCCATTCTTTTCATCTAATTGAGGAGGCCTTTGGTCATTGGTTGGAGTATATGGCGCAAAATGTGTCCAAGGAAAGCTTTGACTTGCTTCTTGTTCTTGTTTGGAGTATTTGGAAGGTTCTTAATGAGTTCATTTGGAATGGTGTTGAGCCTTCTCCTTTGGATACCCAAATCAAGGCACATACATGGTTGGCTGAGTTTAAAAAATGGAATGAGGGGGCACCACATAACTCTTCGGCAAGAACAACTAAATGGCAACCGCCAGCACATGGTTGGATAAAATTAATTTTGATGCATCATGGGGTGTGCAGGGGTCGATTGGAGGCTGTGGGTTGGTCGTGAAAAGCTTATAGGGTAGGTTTTTCGCAACACAGGTGAGCAGAGTGGTGGCCGTGAGATCAGCACTTCATGCAAAGGCAGCAGTTGCTAGGGCATCAATTTTATTCTTGCGCATATGGGCCACGGAGCAGGTTTAGGTAAAAGGGGATACATTGTTGGTGATTTATGCCATTCAAAATGCAGGTGCAGTATTTAGTGGTCATTATGGTTATATGTTCGACAATATGAGGAGGCTTATGCAGGACTTCAAACAATGGAAAATCACATTTGGTCGAAGAGAGACAAATAAGGTGGCTCATCGCCTTGCGAGGTTTAGTCTTACTGTTGATCACCTGGTTTCTTAGTTTGAAGAACTTGATGTAATTTTTCATTTATTATTAAAGGATAGTACTAGTAGTTAATTTGGTGCGGGCCGTTTTTTTTTCCTTCGATCGAGTTGAAAGGCCCGACAAGGTTTTTATCGAGGCTCATTGTAAGCACCATATCCTTAATTTGTACGTATTCAATGAATATCGTACTTTTAAAAAAAAAAAAAAAATTGATACGTTATTAATTTTTGTAAATTTGATTTTTAAATTACGTCTCTGTAACATTATTATTTTTTTATATTTAAGCTTTTTGGAGTCTGTCAAAAACAAAGGCGAGTACGCGCACCCACCATACCACTCGTCCCGCCCAAAACCTTGGCGTCGCTTGGGAACGATTGCAAATGACGCCCAAAAGGTGGATCGATGGGGACGAGAGCGCCGCCGAGATGCTCGGTCGGGTTGCGGCGGAGCGACCCTTCTTGCTCATTCCCCCTCTCCACCGCGTTCCTCTCCGCGTTGGCAATGTTGTGGAGCTCGTCGGGCCCTCTTCTTCCGCCAAAACCCTCATCCTCATTCAAGTCAGTCTTCGGTTTTTTTCCATTATTTAATTTATTTTTAGTTCATCGTTTACTATTTCGTTCACAAGAGTGATATCTTTTTTTATGTAAAAGTTGATTCTGTTATGTTTGATTAGGCTGCTGTGAACTGCATTCTCCCAAAGGAGTGGAATGGGGTGCACTATGGGGGCTTGGAGCGTTTGGTAATGTTCCTTGACTTGGATTGCCGCTTTGACATTCTCCGCCTTTCGGAGGTGCTAAAGCTCCGAATTATGGAGCCCAATGGTGAGTTTTGGCGTTGGTGTTCCTCATTTACTAAGAAGAAGAATGAAGAATTTTCGTTTGATATTGCTGCTAAAACTTTTTGTTCTGCAAAATTTGCTTTAGGGTCAATGAATTACGACGAGGGTTTGTTTAATTTGTGCATGAGACGCTTCTTGTATGTCCGTTGCTACGATAGTCGTCAGTTTCTTGCCACTCTCAAGGTAAGAAGAAGCTCTTTTACTTTCATATAAGCTTGTATTCATTACAAGAAACGAAAGGAGAAAAATTATCTTTTGTAGATGGTTGAAGAATGTATAACAGTGGGTTTATTTATCCTTGTATTTTAGACAATGCATTATCGGCTTCGAAAGGAGAAAGAAGAGCATCATGTTAGCATTTATTTACTCATGATTGACAGGTTTGTATTGGAATCCGGGATGTCGTATCACGTTTCCTCCTTTGCTCAAATCATGATGTTGCTGTATATACACATTTTGACTGAGAGAATATTCAGTTTAATTTGACAATTGATCTCTACTGGCCTCCTTATTTTGACAGTATTGGATCTTTCCATTGGATAGATCGTGGCTCAACATTCTTTCCGCTTGGGGACGAGAAGAGGTAACTAATATAGTTTGTTGCCTTTGTTCATAGCATATTTGTTATCTCTATACTCTTGAATGACTCTGATTATAAATAATTAACGGTCTGTTGCATAGGAAACTGCCTCTCTCTTCAGAGTGTGTCCGACGCTGTAGTTCAGGAGATCAGAAAGCTTCAGCTGGTGCATCCCATGCTTGTGATAGCTACAAAAGAAATAATTTTGGGGAATGCATATGGTGCTTATGAGGCCAAACAGTGAGTTCATTCGAAAACTCAAAAACTTTAACTTCAGCTGTGTTGTATATGCATGCTTTGCGATATACTATGCTGGCCTCAGTTGTTAATACAGAATTTCAGAAATACATCTTTTCCAGAGGTCTCAGATTTAAGAAATTCAACGAGTAATACTCAACAGCTTCCATATCGCGAGTACATGCCATCCGTCTGGCAGGTAATATTCATCAATAGTTGTAATATTGTGAGGTAGGGTGCAGGGAATTTTAAAATTATGACTCAGAAAATCAAGAATCTTAATATTTAGAGGGATGGATGGATAGAGGGATAGCTAGAGATATGTTTATCGAGCTCAGTTGACATGAGTTCTTGTGATTGCTTGTTGTACCTCTAATACTTTGTTTTTGCTCGCATGTTACAGTCCTTTGTTACACACAAGTTACTTGTACGAGCTTCAGGTTAATAATTTTCTTTTCATGGAAAATATTTTTGCTAAGCTTTTGCCTTTAAATATTTGTAATTCTTTTTCTTGCCAATTAATTAATATCATTGACTACAGATATGAATTTTGTTATTTCCTCCTTCCAGATGATCATCTGCCGATAAGACATCGTGAAGAATCTTCCCTCTATTTGTCTGAATGGTTGTTGCCTTCACTTAGTTTCCGAGACAAGTTTATCGTGAAAGATGTGAGAAATCTCCGTGTTTCTCATGATTGACAACTGTTAAAAAAATCTTTAGTTTTTGTTTTACATAATTGAGGCCGTAATCTGCTTCTGCAGGCTGGTATCGTTATTGTCTCCTGATGAGAATCTGGGAGGCAAATGGAGTGCTGTCTCCTTATTTCGTGAACTCTCATGGTGCCAAGTATCAGGTGGTGCTTCTGCTCCTCCCTCGCATTTTTGCATTAATGTTTGCATAATATATGGGAGAGCTTGCAAAGTTAAAGCAAAGAACACATCCAATGTCATGGCTACGATGCATGGTTCAACAACCCAACATACGCAGGAGAGGCTTGCGTAATTGATGTTATTGTCTCACACTTGGAAGATTTTGCTTTCTATCGTTATAGATTGCTTGGTCATTGCAGGGAACTATCAAAAAAAAGAAACAAGGGAGTTCGGGGTTCATGCACATCATGAAGATTATGGAAGTGCAGACTTGTGGTTGGGTTCCGGTTTTGGGGATTTGCCCCTCTAGTTGTACTGGTATCATCGTATTGGATTGACCTCCAGGTTGCAGCACATCGGATTGGAAGATAGCGTTCCGCTTGTTGCTTCGTTCGTGTAACACGAGGGCGGTGACCTCATGTATAAAAATTGAAGGGAACAAAGAGCAATCTTTTCTTTTGACAAATAACTAGATAAGGATATCATGGACCTAGCAGTGTACATGATTTGGAGACCATTTTGCAATTCATGTGTCAACATATCGACTCTCACGATTATGCTGTTTGAAAGGTGAAACAAAAGGAGGAATGTGCAAAGGGCCAAACAAAAGGAGGAATGATAAGAAGCCAAGCAGTATCCGCTTACGGATATTCAGTCTCCATATGATAGTTTTATCTACATATATTTTTACCTTTCACACGCCCATATTTCACCTGCAAGATTTTCCTTTATTCCCTAAGCTCGAAAACTTGGTGGAGCTCTCAAGAAAGGCCTTTTGACGTGGAGCTGATGCAGGGGCCAAGATCTGTTGGCTGCAATTGATAGAATGACTTGTATGGAATTGAGTTCAGTTTGGCCGCACTAGCAAATTTCTCGACATAGTCAATGCTATAGGTTTGTGTGAAACCTTTTGCCACAAGACAAGCCCTCTTGATGGAGCCATAAGCTTTGTGTTTCATGGACCGACCTGCAGTCAAACGTACATTTGCCCTTTCGTAACGTGATCAGTTACCAATTGTCGTTATTCTTTAGATCTTCTATTTTTTTTATCATAGCTTTTTTCAATTTTCAACTGTTGAATTTGATAAATGAATATGATCAGTAGTAAAAAATTAATAAGAGCGTATGCGAAGTATAAATGAATGTTTGAATAGCTATTTTTGAGTATCTATTGCTTTCCTCGTTTAGGACGAGATATGGGAATGGGAAAGGTTCAGATTTGACGAGAAAAAGAATGAGCTCGATCATTTTCCCCGCGTCTGTAATTTTCCCGCCAATTCAAAAAGCACAATACGAGCGTTGGCGCCAATACACAAAGCATATCACTCTCGTCGTCTGAGCGCTAGCGGCATTCCGTCGGAAAAGGAGAGAAAAATGGGTTCAACACCGAAGACCGCTACCAAGAAAAACAAAACCCTATTCGATCTCTTCCCACCTGCCACCGCTCCCTCCTCCAAACGCTTCAAATCCGATTCCACCGCCAGTGCCACCCACTCTTTCTCGTCCCCCACCAACAATGACTCCTCCTCCGCCGCCTCCACAGACCTCACCGCCCAGCAGAAGTCACGCATCGAATTCCAAAAGCTGCTCGCCAAAGCCAGACGCAACCTCTCCATCTGCTCCAACAGAGTCTCCCATTCCAAGTCCAAAGGTATTCGATTAGTTAAATTAAATTTCGCTAAATTAATTACATTCTGCAGATTAATTTTGGGTCCGTGCTTATTACTAATTAGGCGAAGGAGTGAAACTGGAGGAGCTGTTGGTGGAGGGGACGTGGCTGGAAGCGTTGCCGTCGGAGCTTCAGAAACCCTACGCCAAGACCCTCTCCAAGTTCGTTGAGAGTGAGCTCTGCGGCAGCGTTCCCATATATCCGCCTACTCACTTGATCTTCAACGCCCTCAACTCCACCTCTTTCGACAGGGTCAAGGCTGTCATCCTGGGTCAGGACCCGTATCACGGTCCGGGTCAAGCCATGGGTCTCTCTTTCTCTGTTCCTGAGGGTGTCAAGGTCCCCTCTAGTCTGGTTAATATATTCAAGGAACTGAACAAAGATCTTGGCTGTTCAATTCCATCTCATGGCAATCTTGAAAAATGGGCTGTTCAGGTACACTTCTATTCATTTCTAAAACTCACTTTTGCTAGAATTGCTTCATATAAAAGCACTTGGAACTGTTTCTTAGAGGTGCTTCTTCATGAAGTTTTTTAGGTTGTAGAAGCATATACAAAACATAGGAACACTTTTTGTGCAAAACATGTCTGGCTTCTGCTTGAGTTAGCTTCTTTTATGTGATTTGTGAATATTGACCGACATTCATTTGTCAAGTTGATTCTATTTTGTAGGGTGTTCTCTTGCTCAATGCTGTTCTCACTGGTGAGTTTCACATGTTCAACATTTTTCTCACTTTTCTTCAGCATACTTCTTATGATGCTCGTCTTCCATTGTACAACTAAAGCAGTAATTTTGTTAGTTCTATTCTATAATGTTCTAAAGTATATTGGTTCAGAAAATGCCAATGGCTTTTGATACTTGTCGCTACCATTTTCACCCATCTTGTGACCTTTCCGGTTTCCATTTCATATTCAGTTAGGAATCATCAGGCTAACTCTCATGCAAAGAAAGGATGGGAGCAATTTACTGATGCTGTTATCAAAACAATTTCACAAAAGAGGGACGGAGTTGTTTTTCTTTTGTGGGGAAACTCTGCTCAGCAGAAAATCAGGTCCGTTAATTTGTAACATTGAGTTGTATTTCATCCTCGGCCATGTTTAAGTTATTCCAATTTTCAGTGTGCTATTTGGATTTAACAGAGGGCCTAACGTTGCGTCATACATCATATTCTTTCAATCAGTAAAACAACTTTCGGGAAATTTTCATCACTTGTTCAACAGTAAAATTGTGTAGGGATATCAGTCAGTTAATTACATTGAGTCATTACAGGCTATGAACTTGATTTCATAATATGTGAAATCCTGCAAATATCTGACACTGATTAAATTGTGCGCTGTTCCGTTTAGCAAGTTGTAAAGATATTCTGATTTACATCTAGTTGTAAAAAATTTAGCAGTCGTAAATCTCAAAACTCGTACTCACTTGTAGCCCCAACAAAACAATAAAAGACACAACCTTGGGTGATCAGGATCTTCAACTTGGAATATATTGTTGGCTAAATGGGTTGAGAAGAATTTAGGGGTTTATACTTTAAAATTGATTGGAGAATATATTCTAATGCAGGTTGATTGATGAGTCAAAGCATCACATTCTCAAAGCGGCACATCCTTCTGGTTTGTCAGCAAACAGGGGCTTCTTTGGCTGCAGGTCAGTTTAACTCCATAATATTTGGTTCCCACTCTGCCATTTCTATCCAAATAAAGTAAGGATGGCGATATGCTTATAATTAGTTTGTTAAAAAGTTCGGGATCGGCTGTTATAACTGGTACTGCATTATCCTGGGTTTCTTTGCTCTACTTATGCAAAATTTTCACCTGGTGTGCAACTTGCAAGCGCAATACTGGGTATAACTCCATGGGTTTGTTTTTTCTTTTTATACTCATGGATGGTTACATGTCTGGAAATATAATTGTATGTTATGACGTCAAGTAAAATTACATGGTAACAGATAATTTGCTCATCATGATGTGAACAGGCATTTTTCTCGCACGAACCAGCTTCTGGAGGAGATGGGCATTCCTCCCATAGACTGGCAACTTTGATTTACAAAAGCATCTCAGCAGCGAGCAGCACTTAATTGTAACTTATTTTGTATCTATGAAGTTCATGCATGACGACCTTTGGGACTTCTTCAGACGTTGATATATTAGTCGAATTGTACAGAATAGAGAAACCTTTTGGTAGTTCTAAGTTTCTCACTCACTATCTGAGTAGTGTTGCCCCCTACGCTATTCATTTTGTCCGAGATGGTCGATTATTTTGTGTTCTTTTGAATGTCTACTCTTTCGTGGTAACAGAGAATTCCTTTCCCTTCAATTAGGTTGTACTTGTACGAAACAATTGGCAGTTCCTTCATTTCTCCTACGTAATTACGTTCCTAAATTTCATTTTCTAATCCCAATATTTTATCGTTTAAAACTAGTTGTTAGTATTGCAATAAAAAATGGTGGCGCCAAGGTGATAATGTCCCGAATCAATCATTCGACGTGATGTGACTTTATATTATTGGCCCAAAATTTCACAGTAACGTAGCGTGCATAGTATAGGTTAAGTCCTTGCAGTCACGGTTGGCAAATTCTACACGCCCTATCCACACTTCTGGTGACTGCAGAAACACATCCCATATGCCCAACAAAACTTGACAGACTTGGATTTTCTGTCATCCACGTGACTAGTTGTGATTGGCCACAAGCTCACCAATGGTCAACACAAGCCACCACTCGCGAAGCAAAGGTTTCTTTGTCAGCCACGAGACCACTGCTGCTCTTAAGTAGCAAAAGCCAACGGTCCTGATTAATTTGGCTAATTTAAGTACAATTCTGAGTTGTGAGCAGCCGATGAGTAGAGTATCAGTTGCAGAATCACCACTAAATTATTGCCATATCCAAAACGAAGCATTCGACTCAGATATCGTATCCGTTTGATTTGCTTCACTACCAGGTTGGATTTTTATATTACATGCTCGGTTTCTGCGGTTTGATTGTTGACGGTATTGTTTTTGTTCATATATTTTTTTCAAATTTAATTTCTGGGCATGTTTGAATGAATGGTTAAGCTAGAATCAGTATATTGAATCATGAATCTATTGTTGCTAGACGCGGGTTAAGCCAGTTGGTTAGGAAGCGTGCACGTCCCTCCACCCGAAGTTTGAATCCCGCTCCCCGCAGGTTAAACTATTGAATCCTGAATCAGCAAGCATGGTTCTGAATTCTTGTTCTTGTAATTATCTTTTTCTTCAAAGAAAGCGTTTCGGATGTGTATGTATGTTACTAAGGGTAACTCTTGTTCTAGGGATGCTAGAGAAATTTTGTAGTTGATACTGATGAGACTGCATTTTTCAGGACATGACGAGCATAATTTCAAGCCACCGTTGTAGTTGGTCGTTTGGAGTTCAGGAGACTGTTAACGTAGGAAAAGGATTCAACAAGGTTTTGTTTCCGGGATGTAATGGTTCATACTTCCCTTCAAGAGGATTGGGTTTTTCCACCGGTAATTGCCACATTCGTCATCAAAGCAATCGGAGACATAGGCCCATCTTTTCGAGTACAACAGATGATGGCAACGACATAAATCCAGATGACTCGGAAGATCCCAGTGATGCAAAAGAAACTGGAGGGGTAAGCTTTCTGCTGCCGTATTTGTGAACACACTGCTAACAAATTGCGTTGTGGTCTAATGTGTTCGTCTCAATCTACTGACTTAATCTTGAGCCTAATGTGTGTGTATTATTACTTCAGGTGGATAAAAATGAAATGCTGAGAGAGAATCTTGAAAGACTGGTTGGTAGAGATGATTCCGCGTTTAGCGGGATAGACCTCGCAACTCTTATTAGGAACAAGTATGGCAGGTCCTATGACGTTCAACTCATCAAGAAGGTATGTTATACAGTAGGAATTCCTCGTTCGATTCAACTTTGGTTAAGTTAATATGTTAATTGCGATAGCTTGCACATATGAGTTGGAATTCCTTTGAGACTTTGATCAAGGATGATTTCCGTTCTGTATCCTGATGATATCGTAATTGGGGTTGATTAGAAAACTGTTTTAACTTGTGCATTTGCCCAACGTAGGAGTTCCTTGGAAGAAATCTCCTTGCTTTGAATGTCATGTGGAAGTATATGGAGCAGGTATCCAAATTCTTACTCAACAAATTTGAAAAACTTCTTGTTGGAACAAGCAACATATCATCACGAATCACGTATCTCGCTAGTATGACACATGTCTGCAATGGGAACTGATACGAATTGAGCTAATCCGAATCCAAAATTTCCTTCAGAGATCGTTTCCACTGACGGAAGAAGAGTATCTGTTGAGGCTCGACGATGTTGCAAACACGTTGAAATGCTGGGGAGCTGTGTCCCATATCCGAAATAGCCTAGCAACGGTGAAAGAGAGGCCTCGGATAGGAAAGGTACTATAACATCATCCGATCCGGTCCTATCCGATCATCTGCAAGTAAAACCAATGTTTATGAGTAATTTGTTGGAGTGATTTTTGTGCAGGCAGTTAGCATTTTCATAGACATGGACGAGTCTGGAGGGCGTGCAAATGAATGGATTTACAAGTAAATTTGGGCAAGAGTTTGGAGTTGAAAGCAAATTGAACGCTTGTTTGCATATTTATGCAGCATATGAAAGCTCAGAGCATCTAGATTAATTAGCTATATAGCACAAATACGTCAGTCAGAGAGACTTGTTTGATGACCGACACAAATGTTCAGTATAAATATATATATTTTTTAACAAATGATATTATCTATATTAAGGAGATGAGAGAGTGGGTTAAGCCTCACAATAGGGTTGTCATAATAATATGGTTCAAATTCGTCTTTGGTGAAAATCGAACTTAAGATCTTTTACTTACAAGTAAATGAATATATAAAAGACCGTAGTACTAAGTAGTAGTATAGATATTAGATATGCGTTATTTGATTATTTGGCTGGCTCGCAAGGAAAATCAAATTCTCTATATGACTAATAATTACCGAGGGTAGTACTTTTTATAGGATTAACCATGAATTTTATATTTGCATTTCACGCAAATCATTATGAGTTACTCATTAGTGATTCAGACAATGTTGGTTAGAGAGAATTGAAATACGTCTGAATCTTTTCGGTCTTTGAAAGAATGGACTATCGTGAGTTGGGGCGAATTTAATACCTATATTTCATGCAAATCTTCTTAAATTTTTGACGTTGATGAATCACATGAAGACTAAAATAGCTCTGTAAATCTTTTCAGCCCTTAAAATAATGATTATCTATCTCGACACCAGTTGTCCCTATTTCAAAAAATAAATAAACAATGGTAAGTTGCTTAACTTTTAACGCGAACAATGCCTTTAAAGCATCAATGACAAGAGAAAGAGCTTCCTCCTTCCTGGCAGATTCTTGTCACGGTCCTTGCAGTTGTATTCTCCAGCAAAAACCCTAAAACTCGCTTTTTCTTCCATGGAGTTCTTTTGTTGATTATAAATAAAAATTAAATAAAAAATCAGTCACACTTCAGATTTTTTTGAACTTTTCTAGAAAGTGAAAAATGATTTTCAGAAATTAACCAAAAAGTTTAGAAAATAAGGAAATTTGAAGCCACTTCATTGAGAGCAAGCAAACATCAAGCTGCTTCAGAATGATTGATGGTTGTGATCATGATGCAGCAGCAGACTTCTGCAGCACCCCCGTCGCACTCAATCATTACTCCCCCTTCCTCCACCACCACCACCCCCACCGCCATTAGATCACCCACGGCAACCCCTACACACTCCCAGCAGCACCCCTCGCCTCTCCACCGCCATGCTCTTCCTGTCCCACCGCCACCTCTCGACCACGTGCTGCCGATTGCGGCCGCCCACCCGTCCGGCGAGCCTGCGCCGACAATTCAATGCCAGCTCGCGAGGGTCCGGCTCTCAGATATTGCCCCGTACCACGGGGCACCCGGTGGGTCGTATGTGAGGGCGGTGGAGGCGCTTTCGGGGTCTTTAACGAGGCACAATGCGGCTGTCATCGAATTGGGGAGCGAAGACGCGGCGCTCCTGCGGTGCGGCTTGGAAGCCTCGAGGTTGTATTTTAGGAGTAGAGCTCAGCTCGGTGTTGGGAAAGGAAGCCGTGGAGTTCACATGTACAGAGCTGGCAGGTATTTTGCGTAATTTTGAATTCGTTGTTAGAAATTAGAATTAGGGCGTGTTGCAGTGTTGGTGATTACTGCAGGTTCCAATGTGTGTTTTTTCGGCCAAAGCATTCGCCTTTTTCGAGTTTCACATTGTGATTGCTAATTACATTGCATTCAGCTATGAGCTTTAATTGTGATTCTTTGTTTGTTTGCTAATTGTCTGTCCGTTTCTTGTTGAATTGAGCTTTACAATAACTGTCTTGGCATCGTTGTCCTCGGAGAATTGAGATTTGGGAGTCTAAAGAGCTTCACTTGTTGCAGGGCTTTGGAAGATTGGGACTCATCCCCACCGTGCATGGCGGATATTTTTAGGTGCATGGGCAAGGCAGCCCATGTGGCTTTGTGTGCAGTAGCTAGGCATCTTCGTTTGCGAAGCGAGTAAGGATGGTGATGTTGGCTCTTTAATCTTTTGTTATACTTTTCTTTTAGATTTCGTGCTAACCATTTGTGTATATCTGCTCATGTAACACCTGTGCTTTGCAGTGTTTTCAACCATTTGCTTGACGATACTCCATTACCTGCTAATGAGGTGTCGTCGTCAGTTCTGGTTGCAACATACTCAAATGCTTCCCTGCAAAATGGAAAAGGTGCTATTGGGGGAGGGAAGCCAGGAATGAATGCTGAAGTTGAGAAGGGATTATTAACATTGGTTTCCTCAGATGGTCCTGGTATACAGGTGCCCTTCTTTTACTTGGTTATCTGGTATTAGAAGATTGGTTAGTTATTTGCATATATGAGCTTTACATCTTATTGTCATTTGTATCAATTGTCTTCTAAACCCTCTGAAAGAAGATCATTCGCTTTGTGATTGCTCAAAATTACTTGTGAAAACTATTTTTTTGTTCAGGTATGTGACCCCAATGGTCGTTGGTACCTAGCAGATGGTGGGTTATCTCCTGGGGATCTTTTACTACTTACAGGTAAGGCACTCAGCCATGCTACTGCTGGCCTCCGCCCAACTGCACCGTATAAAGCTGCTCCCGATTACTCTTCAGGCATTAGTAGTGGTGGGAGGTACAAATTATCTGGTTGCCTTCTCATGCTGTGCTTTGTTTATCCACCATTTCAATCATATTAATCAGAAATTCATATGGAATTAACCTAATTGCATTTCATGTTTATAGGACATCGCTTGCATTTAGGCTCATGCCACAAGGTAACGCTATATTAGATTGTTCTCCAGTTGCAGCAGCTGGTCATGTTATTCCCCACGGCTATGTCCCAATATCTGTAAGCCAGTTTATGGATGATCTTTCTGCTGAGGAAGATGTATTGGGCAGTCGTTCTGACAACACTTATGTAAGTTTTATCTTCAAGTAGTTGATGCACAGCAAGCCCATAGAGATCCAAAGAGAATATAATGACATATAAAAAGCAAATAATGATGGAGTCTTTCAAGAAAACTGTTGACAGGATTAATCAAAAAGGCAATCGTTAATCTTTAAACCCATGCATGGCCCAGGCTGATAGCTTTTGTATTATGGAATTTGAATTTTCAGGTAGCTCGAAACAATTTAAACAAGGAACCATCTTTAAGAAGCGTTCTCTCAGATCCCTTGTCGTAAGTTGTTATTTGTCTCTGAACTTAATTCCTTACCTTCATAGCAAATACCCTGCCTTTTAAATTGAGTCTCACTGTTTTCATATTTCTGAAAGAAGTCCTTTCTTTGGAAATTTGTACACTTGTTCATTAAGTTTACATGTTTTTGTTCTTATAATGTTCAGTTCGATTATGTGATAAAGTTTTGTCTTTTTCACCTTTTTCTGCATGATCTGTAAATGTTTAGTGGGTCATTCCTCGAAGATGCGATGTTAGTCTCTTGTGGGCATTCATTTGGTGGTCTCACATTGAGAAGAGTCATTGAAACAGTAAGTAGGCTATCCTCTTAGAAGGAATATTAGAAATGCTGCTATAATTGCTCTGTAGTCGCTCACGGATTTGGACTGGAAGGGACTAGAATCATAACGTTGTTTTTTTTTTCATCACAGACAAGATGCACCCTCTGCGGTGCAGATATTGAGACGGGGTCTTTGGTTCCTAATCATGGTACATTCCATTTTTCTTTTTAGTGCTTCCTAAATAAGTTCTTAATCCATTTTATTTCATGCTCTTTCTGAAAAATTAAAAGCATACAAATTCACATATTAAATTTTTCAGTTGTGGATCATCTAGCTACACCTACATTCCTATTTACTTTAATGAGCAATACATTCCTTGTGGTTTTGATTTGTATATTGACATAAAACCATTTCCTCAACAGCGCTTAGAGCTGCAGCTGCAGCAGTCAAGCATGAGGATGATCGAAGGCTATTTCATAATGCGACTGTCCGAAAGCGTCGGAAAGAATTAGTTGACCAAATGGATTCATCAAGAAGACCAAACAAGGTGAGTAATAAAAATACTCGATATTCTGTTACCTAGTCCATTTACGCTATTGAAGTCATGCAAGCCATCATCAAAACATCACTAACTTAATATCTTGTTAATGGGGAATTCATGGGAAAGGTTTAACAGATTATGTGTACCAACACCCATGTTTCAAGCATTAGTTTTGAATAATATTTTGTGATATGCAGGAAAATGGAGATGTTGGTGCAGATGGGATTCGTGGGGTGCAGTACCCGTTTTCTGTGAATGAAAAAGTGGTAATTAAGGTGGGTTTGTTGCATTGCTTATCAAAATTGCCTGTTGGCCATCATGGTCCTTCTGGTTCAAGTAGGACTTGTAAAGTGACTACTCAATTATGCAGGGGAACAGGAGGACTCCAGAAAAATTTGTTGGCAAGGAAGCGGTCATCACATCCCAGTGTCTCAATGGCTGGTGAGTTGGCATTACTAACCTGTGCACTTTAGTCACGTAATGTGCTTACTTTTTCACGTTGCTTTATTACCCACGAGTCTACAATTTATAACCATCCATATCTGGTGTGAGCACGCTTGTTTGATTTGGGGTGTGTGTGTGTGTGTTAATTTTAAGTCAAGGAGAGCTGCTCCTTGAACGTGTCTGTAGGATCGCTTGCCTTTTCTAGTGATTATTGGAACAATAAAGATGGGTGTGATCATATGAGCAAGCTTGTCCTCGAATTCTTGCAGGTACTTGCTCAAGATTATTGCAACTGGAGAGAATGTTCGGTTGCAATACCGTTCACTGAGGAAGATGTAGAACACACCTGCAATTGAGAGCGTTGTTGCTCGCAACCCATCCGGAGCAGCATCTCATGAACTCGTTAGATTCGTTGTAACAGTAAACCTCTGAAAGTGCATAACTAGAAGTTGCTCGCCTGTCCACGTCTTGCAGAAGAAAATTTAGTACGGCTTTGTTGTAACTTGTAACTGGCGAATATTGTTTATGTAACCAAAAGAGAAGTAGTGTGTATTAGAATCCGAGAGTTTCTGTTGAGCGCTTGTAACTGAAAATTTACGGATTATTATAACTTTTTTTTCTTCTTCCAAAATGCAGTCTCATCAGTATCATTTTATCCTTTCAGGTTTGTTTGCTTTTGACGTGTTTAGTTTATTTAGAAAATTGATAAAAAGTCCCTCGTAAAACTTTTTTTTATTCAAAAACTTTAAACAATTTTCTTTATCGGACACATTTTTTATATATTAAGATATTTTTTAATTCAAAATCTTCAGAAAGTGCGACGCCCTTTTGTTTTTTTGTCCTTATAATATACAAAATGTTCTTAATATGAATAGTAAGTTGTTTAAGTATTTTTTCGATAAAAAAAAAAGTTTTGTGAGACTTTTTACTGCCTCTCCCTAACACAATTAAACGGAAAGGGATCATCTCTGGATTTTTTTCACTTAATTATTCTCATCAAACAATTTGGATCCTTGAAATTTGATCAAACGGCTAAAAATACATGCCCATTTTAAAAGTTATAATAACTTTAACCGTTTGATCAAATTTCAAGAATTCAAATTGTTTGATGAGAAGGATTATATGAAAGATCCGGAGAGGATCCTTTCCCAATAAAACCCATCACCCTAGGTCCCTAACACATGGGTTATCCCGTCATCCAGCGGTGGGTTTGGTAGCAAATAAAGAGAACTAATGACACGCACATTTACAATATGCGGAATTTGCAGTTGCACAGTTGGCGTGGGAGACTTGCTTTTCCACTTCTCTCATGATCTTTCTCATCCCTCTCACAAGTCACAAAGTTGAGCCTTAAAGATAGTTGGGCAAACCTCTTCTCCCTCCCAAATTTCATGAGAGATTTGAACCCTAAACTTCACTATGAAATATATTTTTTTTACCAACAGGACAGAGGATTTGAACTTAATATATCTTTCAATATTTGGAAGATACTACTAGATCAATAACTAGTTGATTCACTATAAATAATTAGCAATACGCTTGTTGTATAATGTATAAGTTAATGATAGAAAAAGACTAATCTAAAGTTATAAACTATTCCAGATTTGATAGAAAGAAAGCTAAATGCAAACATGTCGTCATTTATTATGTTGTTACCTAATTCCATACACATACACCATCATAAACCCTAATTTGGTACACCCTCCTTTGTTTCATAAAACTAAAACAGAGACTTCAACAGAAGAAAAAAAAACCCCAAGACATTCTTAATGAGAAATTGCTTGTGTATTTGACAATCAGATTAGATGAATCGTGGACTATTTTCGAATGTTAGACATAATACAAATTCATGATGAAAAAGGGTTCAATTCAACTTTTTCATTGAACTAAAAAGGCACTGGACTTTTGGAAGTGAGTTTTACTTACAATTAAAATGGCTTAAATTGTAATTGACATTTGTATTAAGAGGTTAGGACACTCAGATTATGGGACAACAACAATTACAATTTACAAGGCAAACGACAAGTCGCTCGCTTAATCCTTTTGCAATTTGTGGTTTTGCTTTCTAGCTTGCTTTAAGCTTTCATGGCTATTTCCCCACTCCGCTTACTCCAACGTTCTCCATCATATAGTTCCTGTTACGCAAAATACCATCAAACATCTGGTTCACTCCGTTACTCAACCTATCCAACTTCCAACCCATCCGACAACGACGACGCCGTTGCCCTCTCCAGCTGTTTTAGGACATCGTTTAACCGCTGATGTTGAGAGATTTTTTAAGTATGACCGGAACACAAGGTGGTACATCACGTGTTATTATACAAGAGTGAGATGTGTGTGTTAAAAAATTAATAACTTAAAAAATAAAATTTCTCATCACTTATACAAAAACACATGGCATACCATTCGTTTTAGTACAAATTTTTTTTTTTTTGTAATTTCTGATGATAAAAAGGTAAATGCATTCTAATAAGCCGTTCTGACAAGAATACCCCTGCCTGCGTTCTTAATTACGATATTGCCCCGATACTTCTTGGTTGCTGCGTTCTAACCACAAAATTCTGAGTTTTGCACCTTCCACGCAAGGCAAGGGAAATGAAGTATTAAATGTGTAACGCCTAATTATATATTTATTTTTTAACAAATAATAGCGTTATTTATTAAATTATTAATTATCAAGAAAGTAGGCTTAACCATTCATTCTTCTCTAATCTACTCTTAAGGTGTGATTTGCCAATCTGATCCTCTGACAAAGCAAAAAACCTGTCCTGTCATGCTCCCAGCTAACCTTTAAATTATTTTTAATAATTAAATTTACATGCATGCTAATATAATATTTCATCATAGAAGAGTCATTATAATCCCATGGGGACATGATTAGTAATTTACTAATTAATTAATAATCCATGATTAAAGGAAAAGGAAAAGAAAAAAGTTTGAGCTTAAATTGGGGCTGAAGACAGGGACCATTTTCATGTTTCGCTTTACAGAAGATATATAGGTTTCGTCCGTTTGTATTGGAAGATCGAAACGGTTAAGTAAGATGATGTCGCACGCAGAGCTAAAATGTTCATGTGATAAGATCGATTGACTAATTAAAGCCACTTCACTTTGAACAAGGAATTCCTTAATTTAGAATACCTTGCTTCGAAGCTTTTGAATTCATGGTTCAAACTATTTCATATCCACAAGTTGTATGAATAATGTGTGCTTTTTGTTTTCCTCGTGGAAAATTAGATGACTCATAAATTAAATTTAAATCACAAACGCTAATTGATCATAATTAAATATCGACGACATATTAATAAAAATGATCATGTGACAAATAAGATTTGAAATATGATCATTTTGACCAATGTCAAATCTATGAATAGGGGATGTTGAACGAGTATCTACATGAATTAAATTATCAGCTGGTTCTCTAAGCACGTTGAAAATTCGTCTTGGAGTTTCTTCGTCGAGTGAAATAAAATTATCTATTTTTGAAACAAAAATTTAAGTGGTAGAGCTTTTAGCCCCTTATCGTCATGGAGGAAACAATAGGGCCACTCAGATTAGTTGGAGTGGGTAAAACAATACTCATTAGGAAACCGATCAAAAACATTGCCAACGTTCATGGGGTGTATTCGAAACTGAATTAATAGACATATGAAGTGAAAATCTAATGTATGGTTATGTAAAATAACATTAAAAATGACTCATTTGTCAACTTTTATATTATTACTCTCAAACAACCAAACTCAGCCTTACGTTTAATTGACAAAGTACGCTTAATCTCTGAAATTGAAAGCATACATTTTGATCAGTTTGCTTTAATTCAATAATAAATTCACGATTGTGAATGGATGTATATCGATAGTTAGATTACTGTGCAATCACGGGATTATCCAATGTACTGGCATTATTAGTAGGTCACATGTATGATACAGGGCTACTATACAGCTTTAAGCCAATGGTTTCAATCAATTGATCTACGTACCACCTGACAACGCTAGCCACAACTTGCTATTTCAAATTTCTTGGTTGGTCTTTTTCCTCAGCTAGGCAATCATGTATACGAAAACACAAATTAAAAACTTTATCTTTGCTTATGCATTTAACCACTGCATAATGACCTAGTGGTCGGAGATGAATTCTAAGTCCATTTTTTCAGTGCACGTTTGGGTTTTGATTCTTGTCGCGTTGAATCACACAATGGTAGTTAAAGGAAAGCTAAAATGTCTTTGTTAGTCTTCTCAACTCTTAAAAGAATGAACTATTGTAGCACCAATTGATTCTTTTTTTCTAAAAAAAAATTCTTTGCCTGTGCATTTAATTGCAATTATTTTATGTCATCCTTTGTTGGATTAAATTAGGAGGCCATAGGGAAAATTCTAGCGATGAGCATCCAGATTACGTGGCCATAAGGCCATACATTGTACACACGCAAGTAGCTCTCTCTTATTTTATCCTACTCAATTATATCTGATGTTCTCAGAGTGCCTTCGAATCATTTCGGTGAGAATCTTAGAAATTCGTGAATCGTGTCCGTTTATCGTATATTATACAATCACTTTTTATCAAATACTATTTATATTTATTTTTAAATATAAATATTTAAAATATTTTATAATTATACGATTTACGATGAACATATATGATTTACGAATCATCGAGATCCTCACAAAGAGGATTATGCGAGAATCCGGACTCCTTAAAGTATGCAAACGATCAGACAAAATATCTTTTCGACACTATTAGGTAAACTACGTCGTTCCATGGTACATCTTTGCCCCAAAAGCCAATAGAAAAACTGATCCTGTTAACCTTCCTATTCTATTGCACCAGATATGAAATAACCTTATTTTTATCAGGTGGTGATATAATTACAAGCAATAACCCCAATTACATTTTGATCTCCATATGAAAAATAAAAGGAGAATACACCAAAAGTAATTACACTTGTACGATTTTACCCTCAGTAATATTTGAAACATGAAAATTCAACAAAGTCTAGGCAGAGCTCTGCTGTGAGTTGGAGTGGCAGTCAAGACATTGTGTTTTACCATCCTTGACATTTGCCCCTTCATTTGCCTGCACAGTTTCTCCAACTCCACCACCCTCCATTGCATCCTCTGCAAGTCTAACGACATCGAATCCTCTTCCGCCGAGCTCTCTTCTCCCGCACCCCCGTCCTTGTACAAAACAATATCGGAACAGAAATGCTGACTCTGATTTACAACTAGTTTTCGCGGTGTAGGTGGTGGTGGTGGTGTTATTTTGGAGTTTTGAGAAATAAGCGCTTGAATAGCAACCCTTGGTGGGATTTTAGGATTCTTGGCAAGCTCTTTACATGTTTCTAAGCTCAGCTTCTCATAATTCAAGCATCTGCATAATCTCGACCGCTCTTCGAACGAAAGATTTGGATGAGCCTGCCACACATTCGATTCAGAATCCACGATTAACAACCAATCAATTCCACTAAAAAAAATTAAAATGTGAGAGATCAAAAGATTTTCTGATGCCATGAAAATGAAGGCATTTTAGTCAAAATGATCCATGAGATTGACATAACTTCTCACTTTTAGAACCTTAGATTTAAAATCAATAGAAATGATCATTGAGATTGTACATCGTCAATCATTTTGGTCATTCTGTAAAAAAATCTCCGCTATATTGAAAAAACCACCAATTCAAGTTGAGAGATTAATCTGACAAAAATACCCTTAATTTAATGAAGATTTTTTACAAAAAAATCAAAATGATTAATGATGTATAATTTTAGAGATCACTGTTATCAATTTTAAACTTCATGAATTCAAATAAAGAATTATAACAATCTTAAAAACTAATTTAACTAAAAAGCCTGAAAATAAATATAGTCCAAAAGCAAAGCACATCAATGAGTCGGTATGTGGATGCCAAAAACATGTGGGCCATAAATCATGTGAATACTTAATATCAATGCCTAATGGAAACAAATTAAACAATCCTCCTTTCCCATCAACAGATTATGATATTCCCTCTTCCTCAAGTAAATTGAATCACTCCCTCTCATCCCATATTGTAAGACGAGCCACTTTTATCTTTTTAGCATGCCCTTCTTTCCCCCATCTAGCCTATGTTCTTTAATTTCTTTTGCCACCGACATTGCGTCGCAGACCAATAATATAAATATATATATAAAAAAAATAATAAGTGACGTGGTATAATTGTCACGGAACGTCAACAAACATTAACGCAATACAAGCAGATCGATTTTGTGTTTATAAGGCTTGGCATAGCCCCTCTGCTTGTATATTTTTCGTTTACCTATCATTTCTTATCAATAAATTCGGTAGAGGATGGATAGGCGAGGGGTTTATGGATGTAATGGTCCTCCTAAACTCTCTCGTTTGAAAAATAATAAGTGTCTCACACACGATCATTGACGAAAAGCTAATCTCGCAAATCACTCTTTATTTGAAGAAAAAAAGTAAAAAAATTAAGGTAATGGCAATGGAGTGTTACCTCAAGATAGATATCAATGGCTCTGTAGACCCAATCAAAGCAGTCCCTGGCAGAATCAGGCAAGCTCTCTGCAACTCCCAGAAACTTAGAAATCTTGAGATTCTGATCAGGTGATATTTCACCCAAGTACTTATCAACCAACCTCCCAGCTTTCTTCAACCTCTGCACTGAAACTCCCTCACCATTAACAAACACTTTTAACATCCTAATCACGAGATTAACATCATAAACTCCCCTGTCGTGGCCCGACACCAGCAAATCATCCAGCGTGGCTTCATCGATCATCCCACCAATCAATCTCTCCAACCCGACTTTGTACTCTTTGCTAATTCCAAATCCAGACACAATCCTCAGAACCCAGAACAGAGCTCTGCACGAAAAGACCTTTTTGCCCACCAAGATCACGCCGTGAACCGCCGTGTCGGCGAGCCCTCCGAGCTCGCATTTCGAGTTCCCGGGTTTTTTCTGGGCAGATATTTTCAGGTAGTGGAGGAGGAATCTGGTGAGGATCAAGCTGTTGTTTTCGGGTCCGTAAGCACCTAAAATCTGGAGGAGTTTCTCAATGATATTTGGGGGCAGAAGGGCCACGTCATCGAACCACCACGCTCTGCTGGACGAGCTCGGCCTGATGGATTCCGGGGTGGAAGAGAGTCTGAACCCAGATGCAGTTTCCGGAGAAGACGAAGACGAAGGCGACGTGTCAATGAGGTTGCTCACGTCAGAATTCTGAGCGATCTTTGCAAGCAGTGCAGTAATGAGTTTGTCTAAAAGACCGGACGAGTCTGCGTGGTCGAAGAACGAGAGGCAGCTCTTGAGGCAGACTAGTACGTCTTTGAACGACCACTCGAAAAGTCCCTCAAGAAAATGACTTGTTTTCTGCAACAAATTGCGGGGCGAAAGCTTTTCGGTCATGCCAAGGAAGATTGCAGAGCAGTGGAGTAGGCACACGTTTGAAACCGTGAGTTTGATTCTGCCGTTGTCGTAACAGAATCGAGAAACTAACTCGAACCCGTCAGGGCCTCCCGGAAAGTCATCGATTTTGATCCTGGAATTCTTGATCTGGGTTCTTCTCCTTTCTTCCTTGATCATCTTCTTCAACCTTGATGAATATTTTGATAAAATCTCCTGCAAAAAAGTGTGCCGTAAACTTTTAGACATAGAAATAATGGATCGTTTCCATTCATATTCTGGAGCGCTATAGAATTTTCGTTATTTGATTACCTCATTGACGAAGAATGTTTGCTGACCAATGTAGATTTGTAAATCAGAGAGGTGAGGCATGGCCGCTGCAGCTGCTGCTGCTGCTGCTATTTGCATAAACACGGACCGTCAGAAAATGGTTAGAAGGCAAGGAAAGGGATTTGCATGTGATGGCACAAGACAAGGGGCAAAAGGCAAGTGTGTGTTGGTACACACCTTTGCCGTGCAGTCGCTCGTATTAATAAATAAAGGAGAAAGCTTGGCTGCAGCTCATGCTGCAAGCGAAGTGTTGAAATTGTAATTAAAAAAACAATTACTTGAATACGTATTTATCCGTGATTCGTTATCAGAAGTTGCTTCTAATTTTTCAACAGCCAAACTCCGTTGATAAATAGAAGGGTACAAGTTTTGACCATTTAGTAACATCATCACTGATCAACATTGTTTTATGTGCTTTAATTTAATCCGTGAACCTTTTCCCCATACAAAGATACAAACAGAACCAATGTGCCTTGTATTAATCCGTGAATCTTTCCCCATACAAAGATAAAATTTTGAGTCAGGATTGACTGATCATCACGATATCTGTATTACTTATTACAAAAGTACAAGTCTTGTTGTATTTTAATCTCACTGAACTCCATGCTGATTTTAATGGTGCCAGAGTTGTCTTATTATGGCCTTTCTAAAAACTGAACTTTCTCTCCAATTTTGCGGCCGTGTAAGAGTTTAAGAGTAATATTATTAATATTATGCTTTTATATTACATTTTTATACTATCTTATGTAACATTTAATGTAGACATCCACATCATTTGAATTAATCATATTTTTAAATTTAGTTTATTATTTAATAAACTAATAATTAAGAAAAACTAATTAATTAAATGATAATAGTAGAAAATTTTATGTTGTTTCTTCTTTTTGTGTGGTCAATCATTTGTTTGGTTCTACCTTTTGCAAAATTTTATGTTGTTCGAAGAATTTTGCGGACCACTTCCGATGATCTGTGGAATTGGTTACGTGGAATTGATGTCCCAGCAATGACATGTCAATTGAAAATCAAAATGTGTCGGGTATTGTGTCGTTATTTAAAAACTTTGAGACACAAAAGATATTCAGATTTAAATAAAAGAAAATTAATGAAAATATTTGAAAATTTTGAGTTTTAACGATTATAATAAAATAAAAGGTAAAATGAATAGTACTAATATTAACTTTTTAGTGTAAAAATGTGATTTTTGGTTAAAACGAACAGTACCCGATGTTTTTTTGTTAAAGTTCCCTTAAATAAATGTAATGTTCTTGCCTAACCAATAATAATTCAATATAATCAAATTAAAAGGCTACTTCTGATGAGAAACGAAATAAAACAAAAGGAAATCCACATACAACAAGAAAGAGATAAAAAGATAACGTGGGGATATTTTTGTCATTTTGTATATGACAAATTCTTATTCTGCAAGTCAAGAAAGGTTGCTCTCAATTAATTGTTAAATTCATATTCCTTTGTCATATATTATGCGGGTTCCCTTTACTTTCAGGATTTTTTCTGCCAATCAAACACCTACATACATGTGAACAGGGGGCCCACCAGAAGGACAAATCTAGCTGCTTCTTATTGAGACGGGAGACCTCCTACTTTCATCTCCTCCTCCTCTCAGGCTCTCACACTTTACTTTTTGTTTTATAGTTTTTACAAAAAAAAATAATATAAAATATTAATATGGTTGAATCGTAATCGTTTAAGTAGAAAGGGAGAAAAGAGGAGAGAGATTACCAAGGTAGAGAATCCTCCTCCTAAAAGGAGAGGGAAGGAACAAGAAAGTGAAACCAATTGATTATTTGGTGTTAAATCGTTCTGATGGTTGGAGTTTTTTCTTAATTAATTGTATTTCGGATTTAAATTTTTTTTAACTATAAATTAGTATACAATATTGTTTGTAATAAAAGAATTAAAATAAACACATATGTACAAAAAGAAAAAAAATGAGTGGAAAAAAAATTAAAGAACAAAAATAAATAAACAGGCGCAGAGAGAAATTATTTTTATCTTTAATCGTGTTGTTAATTATTATGGATGAGATTATAGTTTGTATTAGTCGCATCAGGTTAATAAGCATAGCATAATTTTCAGTAAGCATAATTAGAAAACTAGCCCGCCCATGAGAAAATAATAAACATATCCAAATAAAAACAAGAAACAAAAACAAATCAAAACCAAACATGACCGAACCACCACAGTAGCCCAGTAGTTCAGGACAAATTTTAGGTCCATATTCTACCTGACACATCCTGGATCCACCCAGAGAAAAGCTAAGTCTTCCTAGTCCCAAGAGAGTGAACTGTTATGACAAAACCACTACTTTGGTCCTCGTATTTATAAATAAATAAAACTAAACAGGATTGGGAACTGGCATGGCATCAAACTAAAAGTATTTAACATTAAGCAGCTAAATATTTAAAGAGCCTCAAATAATAACCCCATTCCCATTACACAATTAATAATATTTCATAACTTAATAAAAATGTTGAAAGCAAGTTTCTGATAGTGCAAATAAACACGTATTCTCCATTCGACTAGCTTAAAATGCCAAGTAAAACAAAGTTCAACACAAATGCAGTTCCGCGGAGAACCAAAACTTGGAAACTATCCCGTAAACTTCAATAACGGTGCCTGTGCCGGTCCCGGTCTCGATCCCTGTCCCTCCCGTATTCTTTTTCTCGATCATAATCATAGTCTCGAGGTCTATCTCTCCCCCTATCCCTATCCCTATCCCTTTCTCTACTTCGACTGCGACGCCTATAACCATCATCTCTGTCTCTATTCTTGCTGCTCGGTCTATCATCGCGTTCCCTTCCCCTCTCTCTATTTCTCTCTCTGCCATCTCTGTCAATAGCACCTGCCACATCATTTTTCAAACAAAGTCGATCACTAATCCAAATGCGGATCTTGCTTGACTAAGAAAGCAGCAACAACTCCTAAAATTAACTTTCTTCGAGTGCTATAGTAAATATAAATGTTCAAACATGCCAACTAACATCAAGACGAGAAGGAAAAAGGACAATCATGTTGAAGAATGTGATAATAACTGTGGTCTTATGTACATAACCGCTAGGATTAAGGATTTAAAATCTATAACATCAAATCTATATCAACATATTCCCAAGTAAGAATAATCATGCCACAAAATGCATCAGTACCTATTTCCTCCACCTCCCATCCAGCACGTCCAGCACCTGGAAGAGCTCGTCCAGTTTCAGTTGGCTGTGTTTTAGCGCGAAATTTTTTCTTGAGGTTGCCAAACTCATCGTACATCTCTCCATCATCCTGAGAATGGCACAAAATGACTTCTAAACCAGAACAAAATAATATTTTATGTTTCAAATAATGCTTATGCATATAAATCTTACTTGTTCTGCCTCCCGTCTACGTCGCTTGATTTCCTCTAATTCTTCTTCATCAAGTTCCTTGTATCCACCACCACGTCCCCCCCTGTCAAATAGATTTAAAGGAAAATCAGTATATCTCTATAAATGTCACAAAAGAAGGTAGAGAACCTAGAAATAACCTAAGAAAAGAGAAAAAAACCAGCATACTGCATTCTTCATTAACGACCACCAATGTGTATCTAGCTCTTCAGCTAGATAGACATACGAGAGTTTATAAATAAAAAGGGGCAGAAAAGAAAGTGGATCCCTATAGCATGTGAAACAAGACCAATTAACTTCTTTTAGGAGGAAACGAAAATATGATGAATATCTTTTACACAAAATACAGTAGCGTATACCTTTTTATTCAAAAGTGAGAAGAACAGGATGGTTGAACACAATTAGGTATTGTATAAATAGATAAGAACCAATCAAGACGAAGTCAGTGTACATATTAATATTTACGTATTATCAGTATGACATCATCTTCCCACATAATGGATGCCTGTTATTGATTGGCAACTGACAGAAGCATACATTGAAGTAAAAATAATGTAATACCTTACACCCCCTTCATTGTGACCAGGTTTATTTGTGTTGCATATATTGCATTTTGTACGCTTTGCCCAATTGATGTTGGCACACCTGAAATAAAAGAAGAAAACGAAGCAGTGTGAACAATAATACACTTTTTAAATGACATTTCTGTGATACTGCTAAACCCAAGCACAATAGAATTAGCTTACGGAATGAATACAAAATGTAAAGTTTTATATCCAAATACCATCAATTAGTAGGCAGTGCATATATACCCATCAAACTTGGCCTTCAAGTATGAAACTTATAATGGTACATAAAACAGTTAACGCATAAAATTTATGTGTCCTAGCAAGTAGCAACATATTAGCCAAGGTTGATGCAGAATGCTACCTAACTTCCACAACCTCGAAATATGCAAATAGATATGTAAGAATGTGAAGAAAATCAAAATCATAAGAATAGAATAAAAGGTCCTTTAAACAACCAAGAAATCATGTTTCCACTAATTCCACCTCATTAACAATAGATTCGTAAAAATGTGAAGAAAATCAAAATCATAAGAGAATAGAATAAAAGGTCCTTTAAAAAAACCAAGAAATCATGTTTCCTCTAATTCCACCTCATTAACAGAATATACAAATACGCGACAAAACTTCGACTGAAACTTAAAAGAACAACAACGACGATTATAATAAAGATAGAAGTGGTTTAAAACGAGAAGGGAGGAGAAGGAAGAGGGGGGGGGGTGGTGTGGAAATAAAAGAGTCTTACATTGGACAAGGCCAGTCATTTGGACCAAAGAGTCCACCTGTAGGAGCACCAACAGGACCACCACGGCCCCCAGCATCAACGCCACGACCCCTGCCACGACCACCACCCCCTGTGCCACCAGAAGCACCTGTAGGTCGAGCACTTCCACAGCGATTGCACACACCACGAAATGCAAAATTCACATTGGCACAGCTGCTAGAAAAAAGAGTATGAGTAGCTAATTACTGAATAAATATTACATTTAAGAATGAAAATGCCAAGGAAAGTGCAAGAAAGAGCTGCTCACCAATATCACAGCACAGACCTTGTATTCGGGCACGTCCAGTCTCCTTCTTGTTGCCATGCTTTCCCAGTAGCATCACCTCGACCTCTACCGCCGCCGCCACCCCCATTTGTATCCTGAGCAGCTTCCTCCGGTCCATCAAAATCATCGCCAAAACTTGGATCAACCACAGTGTTATGAGTTTGATCATCTTTGCTTTTGGACTCAGCTATAAAAACCCCAATGGTATTACCATGGAATTCCTTGTCATTAAACCATTCAACAGCCGCTGATGCAGCATGTGG